GATTTCCAAATCTGTGACGCGAAGCATGAATGTGGGTGAAATCGTTCAGTCTATGTTCAAAATCAACGAAAAAAATTACCTGTTTCTGGTCTCCGGCGGCGGAAATAGGTGACAGTGCCGTGAAATTATGAATTTCAGACCTCAATTTAATTTTTGGAAATTTCGAATGTATAGTGAGAGAGTCCTGCTATGACAGGAAATGGAAATCTATATATAAAATGAATATATACCTGAATTCTGAATTTATAAAGTAGGCACCTGAAGTTTGAAGTGGGGTAAAGTAGGCACCTGAATTTTGATTTTTTCCATAAAGATTCTCGTTGTGCCTTCTCGATAATCAATTAATCTTAGACGCCATATTGCTCGTTCCTTCTAAAATGGCCCCACCCACCATCTCCATGTTTGAACCCCTAATTTTTGGTCTCGACAAAATGTAAAACTACCAAAACACACAAGCTCGGAATTGTAAGTTAGTATGCGTTTGTCTTCCATTATTGTAGAAGAAATTGAGTAATGAGTAATATTTTTTGGAGAATGTGTGGTTGAAATTTAGAGTGTGTTTGGTAGGGATTTTTGGGGGAAGAATTGATTTTTGAATAGTGATATGATAGGAAATGTTTGGTTGAAAAAGAAGAAAAAATTATTAATGTGATGGAAAATATATTTGAATAGTGATATGATGGGAAATGTGTGGTTGAAAAAGAAGAAAAAATTATTGATGGGATGGAAAATATTATTTTATTGAAGAATGTGTGGTTGAAAATGAGAATTGATTTACTGTAGAAAATCAAAATCTATTCCACACAGGCTCTTAAAGTAACTTTATTGATCTGTGTGTAGAATATTTTATTGGGTGAATGTGTGGTCGAGAATATTACTGTAGCAAACAATGTTTTGGACTAATGTGAGACAAAAGAGGCCTTGTCCCATATAGAAATTGTCGATTTCATATGTCAATCACCATAGATTGTTGAGTTCGAGTGCCTATACTTAAGTTCAAGAAAGGTTGTGCCCAAGAAATGAAAAATCATACTCAACAATATTATAGCAATTAAAAGATTTTAACACTTTATTATTGCGATCTCTACCATAGCTAGGAAGCAAAGAAGAGAAAATTTTCAAGGACGGGCAAAGCTGACGGGTATATTAGGAGCTCATGATTTGAGCATCTTAATAAACCAGGCAACTTGAGGAAATGCATTTATAATAATTCTCACAAAGTAATGCATGCTCACATGAAGAATAGTAAACAATGATATGGAAACTTTATTGTATATTCAAGCTTATCAACAAGAGATGAAGTTTTGTTTATTAATTACGCATACCGACAATCACTACTTGATGTCGTGACATTTTTACTTTGTGTTACTCGATAATATTGTAGTAGACAATATTTGAACTTTCTTCTCTGCTTAATCATGTTGAATGACACATTCCATGTCAAATATAACAATGACAACAAACTAATCATTTCTCGTTGCTACAAATTTGGAGCGCTTACATAAGTTCTTTTCAATCATTTTGTTCGGTCAATTGCTAGATTTTTTGGCCGAAGAAGCTAAGTTTATAATAACTAATATGCAATGATAGATTTGATTTAATCCTCAATCGTCTTGCGTCAAACTTATTCTTTAAGTTTATACAATACACATAGAACCACCTAAGCCAATCTTAATTTATCCGAAACCATACTACCTTCACGTATTCGTTATATTCTCATTTCTAATCTCATCCATTTTACAATGCTAACGCATCTATATCAACGTCCTCATTTCCTCTATATTTATGTTGTACCATTGCATAAAACAAATTAAATAATTCAGTTAGTGCTCTATGTTTATTTACCTAATGAACATTGATATTACTGTTATACAATCCAAAGTATAGATTAATTGGAGACTGCCAAATATAAAGTGTAAACATGAGCCAGCAAGCTAGCCTACCGCCTACCATAGCATAAGGAAGTATATAGTAAATCATTTTATGATAGAGAAAGCCACATCGTTTTGCTCGAAAGTGTAAAGGCTCCTCTCCACCATCCCACAAATATTGTTCTTTCATGCATGTATTCTCCTCAAAATAAATAAATAAATCGTTATCCCTTTGACAAGATGGAATGTTGGAATTTTACCTCAACTAAAATTTAGTCCTCTTGTTGAACGTAATAGTATTTTCCCTTTTTTTTTTCAAGTGGAGATCGGCCTAATATTTTCTCCACGTGATAAGGATATTGAGGGTGACCCTATTTTATGTGCAGAGAGAGAGAGAGAGAGAGGGGAGAGACTTGAGTTTTTATGCATATAGTAACTTTCTACGTCATCTTCGTAATGGTGAAATCCTGCGACAAGTGAACATAGCTCTTACTTTGAAAATGAACGATCGTATTCAATTTTTTGTTTTGCTATTGCTCTTGGTAGTACAAAATTAGGCACTTAATTGAATAGATATATACCCTTTGTTGTTTCTAGAGCTTTGAAACCGAAAGGTAGATAAAAATATAATAGTTTGAGCACTTGAACCTGCTTTCTGATGGCCAATGTTGAGCTCCCTATCCTACTTGTATTTAGAGAATTGGATGAAGCTGTTTTAAGGATTTTTTTAATGTAAAGACGGCACTAAAATACGTCGGCCAACCCTTTATTTAGTGGCAAACAGCCAAACTTAGAATGAGATTAGAACTAAAAGTATAAATTAATAATGGAGAATGAATATGTCCAGACAAATTGAAGTATTGAGTCATGCAACCTAGTCTCTATATATCCCTAAGCACAGGAGAAACACAAATATTATTATAAACTTCAGCTGTCACTTCAAATAGACTAAAAAAAACATGTGCAACAATACTTTCCAATTGCAAAGAGAAAATCTGAATTTAGTAACAGCAAGAGAAAAATACCAATGATTTCAATGTATACTGCATGAGATTACAAAGAATCGCCAAAGTTTCACCACAAGATGGTCCTTGAATATCCACCGACTAGATTACTTCAAGAGAACAGCGAGAATGACTAATGAAGTGACATTTAGTTAATCTAATTTTCTGATTATAGGAATAGAAGTAATTTCACTCTCAAAGGTTTTGTACCATACACTGAATATTACTGTTGAAAAGTCATCTGTCTATTCTACACGTACAAGAAAGTTTAACATGCTGTTTACAGGCGCGCAGTTGTCAACATTTCATTGGCAGTTGGCAAAAAAAGGGGAGAACTGCCAACATTCTGGTAGAAAAAACCCTGTACAAGTGGTTTTTCCCATAATTATTTCAAGAAAGCATGATGAACTCATTCATCATTGCTAAATAAAGGGCAAAAGAGGCTACTGTACTCACCTATGCTACAACATTAACATTGACTCATAGACTACTAATCAGCAACAATATATCACTAATTTTTTTGAGCCTAACATATTGAAATAAAAATAATGATTGGGTCAGTTGTAATGGATAAAGCTATTTAAAGACAGATAAGGAAAGTTTACCTAAGTCGTGCATGAATAACTGTTGGCCACAAAGGAGACCTAAAAGAATTTACTTTTAACTTAAAAGTGAGAATGTCCCTTACCCCTAATGAAAAGGACTCCCGACCCTTTTTCTCAATGATGATTATAAAGCTTAGATCTTTACTTGTTACTTCACTAAACAAATTCGTCCAAGGTTCAGGATTTGTGAAAACTAAGGTTATCCAATGACAGGACTAGGTTCTTCATGTGGAGCATGCAAGTTCCTGAGAAGAAGGTGTACAAGCGAATGCGTCTTTGCACCTTACTTCTCTTACGACCATGCAACAAGTCACTTTGCTGCTGTTCACAAGGTTTTTGGTGCAAGCAACGTCTCTAAACTATTGCTGCACCTCCCTGTACAGAATCGAAATGATGCTACCATAACTTTATCCTATGAAGCACTGTCACGAATGCAGGACCCTATTTACGGTTGTGTTTCACATATTCTTGCACTGCAAAAATTGGTTCGTCATTTCACTTCTCTCTAGAAACCTCACTATATTGCAATAAAATCATGGATTTCATCCGTAAAACTTACCGTGCAGGTGGCCAACCTCGAGGAGGAGATAGAAATCATCGGAAATCAAATGGCTAATCTTGGAGTTTATACATCTAGTTATGAGACTTCTCAACAAACTTATATCCCAAATGATGTTTTGCAATTTTCCCCTAGGTATGATATAATGTGCGATCATACTAATCAACAAAGTCTACAACTTCAACAAGGAAATTTATCAGCAAATCAAGCTTGCTCTAGCCAAATGAACATACAGTTTCCCCAGGGAAATGTATTTGAGGATGGGATTCTCCAAGCATACTCCGGTTCCAGCGTCTTTGACAGATCCTATGAAGAACTAAGCAAAGATATTTATCTTCATTCTCAATGGATGTGCAGCATCCTATATTCCAGATGACTCTGAAACTGAATTAATTGCGCTTTTCTCATAGCAGGCACATATTTTTGCACACGGAAATATTAAGTTGCATTGTCGTTTCATTTTAGTTTCTTCTTTGGCATGACGCCACTCCTTGTCTGCTTATTATATCTATGCATATTATGATGTTTTTCCTCCTCGTCCTGAGTAACTTCGAAGTTTTAGCTCATCATCCTAATTCAGACTTCAAATCAGGACTTCAATTTTTAGTATCTAAAATTGCCAGTCCAGAAATAGAGGCACCCGAAGAATACAGCTTGTTGAATTCTATGGCAAAGGAATAGAAAAAAAGTAACATTGCAGAACAACTGCATATTTGGCTCAGGTAACATAACTTTGTCTAATGACAAACATCAGAAAGAGTAACAAATTTGGAACCAAACATCAAGAAATTCAAGTGGCAAGTAGGAAAGGCATTCTTGACAATAACAAGTCCCGGTTTTACAAGCAAAGAAAGTACAGCAATAAGTTAGACCTTGTTCTTAAGCAACTTCATATCGGTTACATAAATTCTTCTTTTTTACCACGTTAAATCTAGCACTATATCCATTAAAAGAGCCCACGAAATTATATCTTTTGCAACTGCATCACGTCATCAATTTTGATCCACCCCTCCCTATTTTGAACAGCTTCATTAGACGATTGCATTGCTCATTAATAAGAGCTTCTAAATATATGTCCCAATAATCTTAGTTGTCCTTTAATTTATTGTCAACAAGATGCCACCTTCATTTTTTGGTTTCTTGGTTTATTCATTCTAGTACTTTCAAACATCCATCTTAAAACTAACAGAGGGAGGGAGAGATCTCCTTATCCCATCACATTACATGCATTGTATTGACAATCAAAACATAGAGAAGGAACTTAAAACATGTTCTAATAATTCATAATGAAAAACCAGAAAAATGCATATATTTACAATATAACGAGAAAAGTCATTCACCTCCTCACAAGGAAAAAAACACAAAATAACTCCATAAAAAAGACAGATATTATCAACATTTTCGGATGCATGGTGCAGTGTGCTACAAAATAAATAAAAAGATGAAAAACACATTATCAAGTATAAAAGAGAAATTTCTCTGCTGCTACTCAAGTCAGACTCCATTTTTCCTATAGATATATATTAGAAACTGGCTGCCTCACCCTCAAGTTACATGCCATTTCAAAATGTATCTCGCACCGAAATGTTGAATCCACATCTGAAACATTTATGCCGCCCAAGTCATCAAGCCTCTGTAAATCAAAAACAGAATAATAATTATTCAATTCAGATAAAACAGAATGTTATATGCATATAGTCAATGGCAAGGACTAACCTCATGAACACCACTCCCGAGCATTTTGGAACATTCGCAACCAGGGGCTAGGACCTTTCTTGTCCACATTCCAGTTCTTGGGATACCAAGGATACTGCCACATCAAGAAGCAACGCTCTGGATGAGGCATCATGGCAAGGTGTCTGCCATCTGGAGAACAAATTGCTGCCACACCTAAAGGAGAACCATTAAGATTGAAAGGATAGACTTCCGTCGGATTCCCATCATCATCACAATATTTCACAGGGACCAAATTTGATTTTAGAATACTATCGAAAACACCATCATCGGGAAAATAAGCCCTTCCCTCACCATGGGCAGCCCACACACCCAATGTGCTACCTTCCATTCCTTTGAACATTATAGCGGGTGAATTTTCTAATTTCACACTTGTGAAGCGGCACTCAAACCGTCCGGATTCATTGTGTATGAACCTTGGTTGTGATGGATCCCCATTGTCCCCAAGGACACCTCCAACTTCGGGGCCTGGAACCCACCCCAAAAGAGCCATCAGCTGACAACCATTGCAAACCCCTAAACTGAAAGTGTCTGGACGTTCATAAAATTCTTGAAATTGACTCAAAAGAGGTTTATTAAACCGTATTGAAGCTGCCCAACCCTTTGCAGAATCGAGAACATCAGCGTAGCTAAATCCTCCAACAAAGACAATTCCACGGAATTCATGCAATGAGATTGCTCCACCAAGAAGGTCAGACATTGCTATATCCCATGTTTCAAAACCAGCAGCATGAAAAGCAGCAGCCATTTCTCTATCCCCATTGCTGCCTTCCTCGCGAATGACTGCTACCTTTGGTTTTGAAATGGCCGTCATATATTTCTCATCTGTATAGGTTGGAATGAAAGACAACTCCCATGACGGCAAATGGCGACCACTCAAACCTTCTTTTTCAAGTGCAACACAAGATGCCAATCTTTGTAATTTCTCCAGATGAAAGCTGGTTTCTTCCCACATATCCCTGAGTAGAGATGTTTCCTCCTTCAAATGAGTAACACCATCGACCTTTAATTCAACCATCGGGGAGACAGCAACTTCACCAATAATCTCAGCAGAAATTCCAAAATCCAAAAGCTTTGTCATTACCAAATCTATATTATTTTTGCTGATCTCAAGGACAACGCCAAGCTCCTCTGCAAAGAGAGTTTGGAAAATGCTGTAACTCTCTTGTGAAATCAAGTTCAAGTGAATACCACAGTTCCCTGCAAATGCCATCTCCAAGATACTGACAATCAATCCTCCATCACTAATATCATGACCAGCTGATATCAGCTCCTCTTCAATAAGATTTTGAACCCCATTGAAAACTTGTTTAAGGTAAGAAACATCATCAAGGTCAGGACACTCATCCCCAACTTGATCAAACACCTGAGTGAGAGCAGATCCACCCAAGCGTCGCTTCCCTTTGGCTAAATCAATGTGAAGGAGAATGCCATCATCTCCAAGCTTCAAATCTGGTGTCACGGTTTTAGTTATATCAGGACAAGTGACATAGGTACTAATTACCAGATTTCCAGGAGCCTTGACAACTTCCCCAGATGAATGTGCAGCCATGGAAAGACTATCCTTCCCCCCATCAATAGCAATGCCAAGTTCAATCATAGCTTCTGAAAGAGCTATGGCAGCATCGTACATGGCAGCTCCTTCCCCATCCAGTTTGGCAGCATACATCCAATTCCCACTAGCCTTGACGTCAGAAAGAGAAGTGACCCTAGCCCAGACAAGATTAGTGAGAGCTTCTCCTACAGCTAACCGTGCCATAGCTTTTGGGTCCAGAAGGCCTTTGATAGGCTGTTCCCCAATTGAGCATGCACCTCCAGTGAAGTGAGTATAACTTTGAGCAATAACAGCAACATCAGAAAGCGTAATTTGCAAGGGACCCACTGTTTGCTGCTGTGCCACCAGACCTGTTACACATCTATCGACTTTCGTAGTTAAGAACCTTTTAGATGCCACAGAAGGAAGCCTCAGAACTCTTTTCAAAGAATCCATAACGGTAATCCCAGGGGCAATATCAAGTGGTTCTCTAGCATTAACTGTGCGATGGAATTCAAATGTTTTCTGAGGCATGTCTCCAAGCACCTTTTCAAGCTCAAGATCCACAGCAGGTGGTGGCAAAGGTTGTCCACTTGAGCTGCATCTTTCTATAGCTAAACTATCAATTAAAACAATCCGTCCTTCTCCGCTAATTGATCCAATAACAGCCATTGATACTCTCTCCCTTTCACAGATTGACTGCAACAGGCCACGGCTTTCAGGTTTTACCAAAATAGCATCTTGCTCCTGGTACTCAGCACCCCATATCTCCAAGACAGACATTGTGTGATCACCAACTACAATTGCCCTTATATCAATAGTAGCACCCTTTGGGTATATTATTTCCTTGACAACATTGCAGTTTCCACCGGCACCCTGATCATGAATGCTAATGATAGGATTGTTCTCCCCCATTTCGACACAAGCGCGGACAACACGATACAATTTTTGTGCCATCTCCGCATCGCCGCGCTGTACTGCATTAAAATCAAGCTCAGCATCATTTTGGCCACTAACCATGCTTGATGCAGCACCACCACCCATTCCAATTCGATATGCTGGACCTCCGATCTTTACAACTAACATTCCAATTTCAGGATCTCCCTTCGATATGTGAGTGTGATCAATCTGACCAATACCTGCACTGAACATGATTGGTTTCAACCATTCCCGTCGTTCCCCATTTGGAAGTCTCATTCCAAAAGTCCTTGTGTAACCCTGAACTAAAGGCTCCCCAAATTTGTTGCCATAGTCTGATGCACCATTGCTAGCGTCAATGAGAATCTGCAGTGGGGGAGCCAAGTTTGTCGGGTATGTGAATGATGGATCCTCCCATGGAGCATATGAACCTTCAATATTAAGATTTCCAACACAGTAACCAGCTGTAGATGCCACAACAAATGAACCCCTGCCAGTCGCATGTGTGTCCCTAATCCGACCACCAGCACCTGTCTCTGCACCAGGAAATGGAGCCACTGCACATGGGAAATTGTGGGTCTCAGCAGTAAACAATATATCGAGTTCACAAGGACTCATCTCCAATGGGCATGTTGAACCAGGTTGAATAGGTCGCAATCGATTCACAAGAAACCCTCTAATTGCACTGGAGTTGTCCTTAAAGCCAATAACAGAATTGTTTGGGTTTGCTTGCAAAGTGCTTTTGACAATTTGCATCAGGGTCCTATTTACCGGCTCACCATCTATAACAATCTTCCCCGTAAAAAACCAGTGCCTACTGTGCTCACTATTGGACTGTGCAATATCAAATAACTCGACATTTGTAGGATTCCGCTTGATGTCATCCCTGAAAAGCTTAGTGTAGTATTGCAAATCTTGTTCATCAAAGGCTAAACCCATTTCATCATTTATTTCCTCCAATGCGTTCCTGCCCCTCTCCATAACCTGTATATACTGTACCTCCTCCGGGACTACACGTGTCTCAAAAGATGTGAGCTTCTGAGTATAGATGCACTCAGTCATCCTATCATGCACCAGGGCAGCAAACTCGCTAATCTGACTGTCTAACAATGATGCACTTCCAGCATTAACATACAACAAGTACCTCCTTGACCGTTCCAATCTATTTATTTCAGTCAACCCACATGCTCGGCAAATTGAGACAGCATTGGTAGACCAGGCGGTGGTGAAAGATAAACGGGGACCAACTTCTACTACAATGGTATTCAAGCTTTCTTTCATCTCCTTGTCAAGAAAACTTTCAACCCCCAGATTGTCCGGTTCATAAGTTTCTCCCAAAAGCCACTTAAGCACTAGAAGCTTCTCATCTGAAAGATCTCCATCTACACCAATATTGAAGCACTGTTCAGTTTTCAAGCCAATTATTTGGTTTGAGACTTTGGTCTGAACCAATTTGAGAAGTTCAGCAGTTGCACTTTCCTGAATAAACGGAATTCGATATAAATGTAGAACCTTTGCAGCATCCCTCTTAACCTTGGCTGGTATCTCACTAACTGAACTGCTTGCATCCCTTGAGACAACTGCCCTCACCAGGACTGGAAGACCAGCTCTATAAGAAATTTTTGCAGGACTCTGTCTTTGCAAGTTACCCCAAAGCAATCTGTTCGTCTGCCTTGAAGAAAATCTAGGAAGAAACAGTTTTTGCCTTTGAGAACCCTGTAGTTACCAAAATAAAACCACATTCAGTAATTATTTTTTATCATTCCCTCAAAATTCCAGGCTTAAAACAAATAATATTAGGAGATAGCAAAAAAAAAAAGCATACTTGTAAGAACTCTGCTGCAGTGATTTCCCAAGCAGCAGCCATTGCTCTGTCCACAACTCTCTCTATAAAAATCAATAGCAACAAATAAAAAAATCAAATATCAACCTAGACCACCAATAAATGTCCAAAGAAACCCAATAACTCACAGGTGGGGTAATTGATAAATATGATAAACCCGAAAATCGATTTAACTCAGTGAAATTTGTTCAAACTAGGGATGATTTTCAGCTCGAATTATATGTCAAAAAGAATCCAATAACGATTTATCGGACGTGGAAAGGAGGTTTACCTGTTGTAGGAGGGGACTGTGTAAAGCCAAGCCAAGACAAGCGCGCGCGAGAGTGAAAGTAAAGTGTTGGTCTGCTCTGCCAGAAACAAAACCCTAAAGATTTTTTGTATTTTTATATTTATCGGACATTTATTTTAGAATTAATTTATTTCTACAATTGTGCTTGAGAATTATATTTGACAATTGTCAAGATTCAGACAATTGATTTTAAAAATAATTTTTAAAATGAATGAATGTGATACTGTAAGTATAAATTATTAACCAATATTGTCAAATTAAATTGCACAAATAACATGATTGTTCATTTTAACATGTAACTAAAATTTTTATTTTGGTCGAATATATCACATTCATAGTATCTCATACCAACTTTTTAAATAATTAAGGGTAAAAAAACTCAAATGGTCATTGACTTGGTCACTCAACTTTAATTTATTCAAAATTAGTCATCTTACTTTAAGTACCATTTCACGATGATCCCTAAACTTTAATTGTTTCAAATTATTCGTTGAGGTTTAAGTTTTGTCCACAATCATCATTACATTAGTTTCTATTTCAGAGATCAATGTTAAATTTAATGTGTCAATAAGGATCACGAAATCTTTCGTCTCATCCAGTATTGTCCCGGCCCGAATTTTCCAAACTCGAACTCTCTATTTTTTATTTTTACTTTTTAATATTTTTAATTTAAATCAGATTTTATAAATAAAAATAGTAATATTAAAAATAAATAATTAATGGAGATTTTTTTAATGGTGCAATTAATGGAGATTTTTTTAATTCTCACCTCACCTCTCAAAAATCCCTGACAAGGCAAGGATGTTAATGATTGTTTCAGTCAGGCCAGAGAGGCTTCCTATGAATGGATGCTAATCCAAATAGATGGTTAGTTACAAAGAGACTAAAATATTGAGCAACAAATTTTATAGTTAGGAGCTTCATGTAAATTAAAGTTTAATAATCAATGCGACACAAATCTTAAAATTGGATGATTACTTTTTATGAAAATGTTTTTTGTACATAATGATGTACATAATGATAATGTTGATTATAATAACTAATTGGGTTGTACTACATGTACGTAGTAATTTATCAATATTATAAAAATTGGACCAGTCAGTTCAACCAGTCTCAATTTCGATACGATCATATTACATTAATCGGAAAAACAATTTTAAAAACCATTAAATTGGTCGATTCAATAGCGAACCGAAAAATTTGATCTAATTTTTTTCCGATTAATTGGATTTTATTTATTTTTTTACAAAATTTTTCTAATATTTATTTTCATGGGCTCTCCTTGCATGGGCATTTGGCAAGCCCAAAATTTTGATTTCGGCAATGCTCTTTTTGTAGGGAAAAATTCACAACTCTAACGTTATCTATCCCAAAATCAAAAATCAGGCCACAAGGTTTAGAATTGCAAAAATCAACTTTTTATGAATTAATTAATTATATTTCACAATTATTATATTAAATTAAATATTTAACTGTAATATAATATATTCAACCCATCCCACCTCTACCTCTCCTACTGTTCCGGCGACTGACGATTGTTCTCCGGTCACAGATCAAAAATTTTGTAGGTCGCAGATTATTTCGAGGTCACAATCTAAAATTTTATAGGTTACACATTATTTTATTGGTCACAGATCAAAAAAATTATATATCACAGGTCGCGTATTTTCAAATTTATTGATCACGGATTCTCTTTTTAGTTACAAATTATCAATTTTAAAGTTACGGTTCAATAATTAAGTCACAGACACAAAAAAGAACCACCACCATCGTTGACCCCACCACAACAATAACAAAAAACGATCACCACCACACGGATTACCATCACCACCACCGCCCAAAACATACCACCACAGATCCACCACCTCCACAACCACACATCCCCAAATCTACGACATTTTTCAAATCCAGACCCCATCTTCGCGACGGCTACCATGACCCACGCCCCATCCTGCTACTCACCGTCGACATCACCACCACCATAAAACCGCCACCACACAAAACACCACCCAAAACCGCCACTCAAAATTGCCACCACACAAACACTATCACCACCACCACCACCACCACCACACAAAACCACACAAAGCACCACAGCCACCACCACAGAATCGCCGCTGCATAAACACCACAGCACCGCAACCGCCAAATCCACAGCCATAAAATCGCAGCCACATAAAATCCATCTTACCCTTTTGAATCCCGGAACTTTGACCATTTTGAGATCGTCCATTGGGCATCAACCTTCCTAATTTTGCAGTTGTGGGTTTGATTGGTTTTGCTTCGATGATGAGCTACTCCGTTTAAATACTAAGGGCTCATCATCCTCGTCCATATCATCCATCAAAAACCCCGACGACGATTCACGCTCCTTCTCGCCGGAGGGGATGGGTTTGTGTAGAGAGAGAGAATGGAGGAGGCAACGGGTCGCATCTGCAGCAGCGACACCTTGCTTTATCGACGGTGCCAGCATCAACGACACTTTGCTTTGCGACAATCGCTTGCCGAGGCTGGTAAAAGGGTGGTGACAACGACATGAGAGAGGAGATCGACGAGAGGGAGGAAAGGTAGAGAGAGAATGGGTTTGGGGGAAATTAGGTAGGGGAGGAGATTGATAAATTAGGGTTTTAATATAGCACCTGATTTTTGCAAAAATAAACTTCAAACTGGATTTTTTAAAAGTTATACCTGATTTTTAAAAATGTCAAATAAACCCCTGATTTTATGTAATTTTCCCCCTTCTGTAAGAGATTCTTCCTCCATTGATTCACTCTTCTTCACGGGAACCAATTCTCAATTATAAATATTTTATAGTTTATTTTATTATTTTTATTAATAAATCATAGTCCCAACAAGCTACAATCACAAACAAATTATTTTGAACATATTAAATTAGGGTAATTAATTAATTAACAAACGTGAATTTATATTTTCTTTTAATTAGTAAACTAAAATTAAAAAATCTAATGTTGTAATAATATTTTATAATTTATGTGCGTAATTATTTATTTAATTTGACGTCCAATTTGATACTATTTCATTTTATCCTTGACCTTCTTTCTTTTTCATGTCAATTTTTAAAACATTGCAATTTATATAATGGCTTAACAACAGATGATGTACCGAGATTTAATTAGATCAAAATTTTATCAATCAAATAGCTTTCTCACTTACATTTTGAAACGTCATCATTATATAAAATAAATAGTTATATACAAAAAACATTGACTTCTTTATTTTTTTCCTCTGTTTTTTTTTCTTTTTCTCTCTCTCTTCCATGTCACCATTTGTACTTCATTCTGTAAATCATAATATACAAATAACATTACTCATTTTTTATTGACCAAATTGATACATGCCTATAGGAAGTAGGAACAATGACCCATAGGCTGGGTTTTTACAAATAGCATTACTCATTTTCTATAAAAAAAAAAAAAAAGAAAAATTATTCTTTAAACTTTAGATTTTGCTCTAACCATTGGCCGGGTTTAATGCTCATTACTGTTAGGATATGAATGTAATTTAGAACGTTTTATTTTGTTTATTGATAATTAATGTTTAACTATTTTGAGTTAATTATGCATCACATATTAGAGTAAGTGATTAAGGCCAATTGATAGGTTTGTGATAGATAATATAAGTCATATACTTGTGTAGAGAGTACACAAGATAAAGTTTATATTTCCATTCATAATAATATATTATAGACTAGCTTATAGAGATTGGCACTCTATCTAAGGCCATGTTTGTGAGGGATTTAAATGTTTCTACCGTAAATCAATTCTCATTTTCAACCACACATTCTTCAATAAAATAATATTTTTCATCACATCAATAATTTTTTCTTCTTTTTCAACCACATATTTCTCATCATATCGCTATTCAAAATCAATTCTTCTCCCAAAAATCCCTCCCAAACAAGCTCTAAATCTATTAATCAATTATTTTATCAATTAATTGTCTTGATCGTGACGATTGTCCACTCGAAAATAATGACACCAATAGACCTGCCCATATATTGGACTGAACCAAGCGCAGGGTTGATTGATTTTTATAGAAAACCGTGTTAATGAAGAAAAATAACAAAAATAATCCATACCAAAAATATTAATGTGGTCATCACTGGCTTGACAATAAAAAAAGGTCCTTTCGTACATTCAATACATTTCTTGCATAAAGAAGTCGAAGAAATCGGCAAAAAATGGAAAAAGTTTAAATATATAACTCAAAGGTTTGTCGATGATATTTTTTTTAAAATTTGGAAAGGAGAAAAAATTGATTCTCTTATTCATTCATTCATTCTCAAAAAAAGTACAACAAATATAGCAGAGCACTGTTATAACCGAATACAATTCTGTATATCATACCTCAGCAAAACTAATTCTAGAAAAGTTTATTGGTTATATCATAAAGAGGAAAATAAAAAATGATAAAATAATAGTAGGTACTATATATTGGATGAACCACTTATAATTTAATTTGATTATTTATAATTAATTCATAACGAATAAGAAATCAAAAAAATACCATGGTTTTGATTCCCTGTTGTGTTTATGGTAATGAAACTATATAATCTCCAATTCAAGAGCACAGGGCTCAATTTCTACATCGAAAAAAATATGCTACTTTTTGGTTAGTTCAATGAATATCTCAGCAATAATTAATTGGCATTTAGCATTCAATTGGGGTAAGCTACCAGAACATGGAATTACCTCAAGCTGAACAGGTTCTAGTAGATTGGTTTGATCTGGTCTGCCATCAATCCAGCAACTCGAATCCCTCCCTAACAAGCAATAAAAATGTGCCCTTTTCTCCTTCATCATCTCTATGCATATGCAATAGCAGTCGCCGCAGCCGCCATCCCCATGGGTGGAGATATAGCCCACCCTTGCCCAAGCCCAGCCTCTGTAAAAAAAAATAATAATAATTACTAAAAGCCCAATTGTTTTCACTTTCCAACCCAATAGCCCACTGTCCAAGCCCAACCCAGTAGCCCATTGTCCTAGCCCATTTGAAAAATTGAAAGCCCAATTTGCAATCCACCTAAAATTAAACACAATTCTCACCCATTGACCTAAAATGCGAAACCATCTCTACTCTCTCTCACACCCTTCGTCCCTCTCTGCTCTCTCTCAAACAGCGAAAGTTGAAACCCTTTGTCCCTCTTAGCTCTCTCTCTCTTTCTCTCTAACTCTCTCAAACCCGAAACGATGAAACCCTTCGTCCACCGTCCTGCTTATCGGGTTCTTTTCTATGGGCAAGAGAATTTTTTATTTTTTTTTACTGCATGTTTATACGAACTTGGAGCTATAGATATCATGGGTTCCATTGGAGATTTATTTATTTTTTTTCTTTTAATTAAGATTGTTTAGCCATGTTGATTTGTGGTGGTCCTCAATCATTGTGGGTTGGGTTGGGTTCGGTTGGGGTGGGGGGGGCGGGGATTGTGTGCGTATGTTCGTTCGTTTGCTCTATATGCATTATAGTGAGGTATGTTTGCTCTATATGCATTATAATGTTATGTTTGTGTAGTGTTAACTCTTGTGTGTATCAAGGGCTAATGAAAGATGCATTTGAAGTCTGGGGATAAAGGAAATGGGATTTTGTTACATGGATTTGGGATTGGGATTGGGATTGGGATTGGGATTTGGGGAGTGAGATTTTCAGTTGTACAAAGATTCTTGCACCACAGCTTGTATAAAGTTGAATTTTGAATTAAGATAGACAATAATCTAACGGATTAGTCCAAAAGAAGGCATAGGATTCCCGTACAAAAAATTTTGCCCCTCGTACGACGCATTCCTGGCTCCGCCCCTGATCGTCGCCCATATTTACTCTCATCCTCTTATTTTAACCTCATTTCTTTAACCAAATTATTAGCTATTTCCTCATCTTCTTTTGGAGACGAGAACTACATCCAAAAACTTTAATGTCCCACTATTTCGTACGCGTCTATCTTCCTTCCTCCATCGAATAAATTTGAAATAAACTGTTCACCTTGTCCCATTCTATTAAGTTTTAATTGTTTCAAGAGTTATATTTTTTTAGTCAAGGACGTATTAAGAATGATAAATTATTTGCAAGGATATTATCATTCAAATATATTTCTTTAGCTTTTATATATAGATAGATTAGTGCGTAAATATGAATTCACACGCACCGTATTCATTAGTTAAACTACATCTCAATTGCACTTAGTGTCCTTAATCTTGGCCCGCTTTAGCATTTAAGTCACTAACATTCTTAACGCATTCTTATTTCCAATTATTAGCACATCTCATGTCTAATAATGATTTCTGTCCAAAAAGGTCTATTGAAAATGTGCATTTGCCCATCATATTTTTCAAAAAATAATAAATTTACATTTGAGACAAAATATTTTTTCTCATTTTAAAGCACACAAACATAATATTTTAAAGAAACTATCATAAAGACAAGATAGTCTAATTAATGTAAGGTTAAAGATAAAATTCGAAAAAAAAAAGAGTAACGTACATAACGCTACAGCAAAAATGGTCTTTTGTAACACGCAAAAGATGACATTCGTTAATTAAGTGTTGTTAAAAAGGTTTATCGCTGAATTCTAGTACGCGTATGTTGTCATTGCTCAACATAATTGAGATTTGGTAATATCTTTCAAATGCATGTCGTTAATGTCTCATTTTGCAATGTTCATGGGTTGTTGCAAAAAAAAAAATTACATATTTCGTATTTTTTTAAACATTTATTAAGCGTTGTTAAACCTCACTTTTTAGTAACATTCATTGCATATGAAATGTTATTTTTGACAACATGCAACGATCGTTGCTGAAAGTGTTAGAGTAATGTTATTCATCTCCAATGATTTTACAAACACAGTTTAAGTGGCTCTAAGTGATAGGTTAAATGAAAGGTGAAATTAAATGACTTATTTAATTTCATATATTATTTAATGCCACATTAACGCCACATAAACTGTATTTATAACTCTAGTGATGATGAATAGCATTACTCAAAGTGTTAATATGTAATGTATTTTACAACGTTCTCCTTCTTTAATAACATTCATTAAGATGTAGTTAAAAGTTATTACAAATGGTAATGATCGTTGCTGAAACTATTAATATATGATATATTTTGTATCGTTCATTGCTCGCTATTAAAATATGCACGAATTTTTATTGATAAGTTTGCATTTGTTATCATTTAATTTATTTATACATAATATATACAATTCATTAATTCAATATAAAATTTTAACAAATTGTCTATCAAAAATCTCAACAAATTTTAGGTTTGAATTTTCAATAGCATGCATATTCAAAATTGTGTATGTACAAAGTATTTAAATATTAGTTTCATTAAAGAGATCAAATTACATTGCAACTAAGTGTTCAAAATTTTATTTTTTCTTTCAAAATAACATTTCTCAAGCATACTTATCTCTTTAAATGGCACGACAAGATGAGGCGTATGACACATATTATCGAATACTGCACTAACGATGTTATAATTATATGAATATATTGTCCAACATTCCTACCCATAAGCAGGCATACATGATTGATAGTTTTTGAGCTTGTCGACCTAAGAATGGGGAGAAAGTTTCCTCAGGGAGCAGTACCTCGAGGCCTGTCTAGGCGATTTGTGAAAGTATATGAGGTTCAAAATAGTTTTACAAAATGCGTGAGATACTCAAAAACTAGAAATAAAAAATATTAATCTAATTTTGTAAATGTGATAGGTGTCTTAGGGACGGCAACGTAGTGGGTCGGAACGTGGTAACCATTTCCCGTCCCGTCGAATATTTGTCACATTTCCTCATCTTCATATCAGGTTAAGGCGGGAAGGGGTCGGTCCCCTACCTCTTTTACCGTCCCATTTTTATTTATTTATTTGCTTATATTTATTTTTATTTTTTATGTTTTTAGTTGGTGAAAATCATTACTTCTTTTTTTTTTCTTCAATTTGTAGAAGGACTCGTTCCTTGTAGAAGTGATGATTATTTTCTTTTTTTTGTAATAAAAGAATTTAAATTTAAAACAAATTGTAAATGGAATGAGTAACGAGGCAACTACCCATGCCCCTGCGTATACGATTAGGCGAAGAATCCTAGTCTCGGGACGAGGCCCACGAATATAGAGTTTAACGAGTTTTTTTTTTTGGCTATCCCTATGGTGTCTTTAATTGTTATAAAGTCTAGGGATATCTTTAATATTTTCTCTATTTATAAATTTTCTTATATACTATTTAATGATCCAAACATGAAGCCAAGAGTGTCGGAGTGTTCTTAACGAAAACGTGATAATAAATTGCGAAATTAAAATATGCGATTTAGTAAATATATCATTAAAACAATATGTTTCAATTTAGATACAACATGAATAATGCCATTTTTCTTTTCCCTACAAGCATATTTGTTTAAAGACTAAACTTTTAATTAAACTTTTGTTTTTAAATGTGAAAGATATCTAATTATTTTGACAGTAAAAGAAAATAATTTTAATTTTCTTTCAAAGAAATTTTTAAGATAATTGGCCAAACATGCACCATTTCCTGTTCATTGTTTCATTTTCACACTATAAGTGCTTTTGATTGCGAGCATGTCATTTGCATTGAAAGGAAATAAATTCTAAACAATTCAATTGTCTATAACTTATCTGCATGAAAATTATTAAATTTTTTTTTTTTTTTTGGCTATCCCTAAGGTGTCTTTAATTGTTATAAAGTCTAGGGATATCTTTAATATTTTCTCTATTTATAAATTTTCTTAGATACTATTTATTGATCCAAACATGAAGCCAAGAGTGTCGGAGTGTTCTTAACGAAAGCGTGATAATAAATTGTGAAATTAAAATATGAGATTTAGTAAATATATCATTAAAACAATATGTTCCAATTTAGATACAACATGAATAATGCCATTTTTCTTTTCCCTACAAGCATATTTGTTTAAATACTAAACTTTTAATTAAACTTTTGTTTTTAAATGTGCAAGATATCTAATTATTTTGACAGTAAAAGTAAATAATTTTAATTTTCGTCCAAAGAAATTTTTAAGATAATTGGCCAAACATGCACCATTTCCTGTTCATTGTTTCATTGCTTTTGATTGCGAGCATGTCATTTGCCTTGAAAGGAAATAAATTCTAAACAATTCAATTACCTATAACTTATCTGTATGAAAATTATTAATTAAAAATATTTGATTGATTTAATTTTCAATCCAGAAAATATTGTACATGTACATTTTTTATTTGTTATATATAAAAGAGAAGTGATCGATGAGAGAGAGGGAGAGAGAGTTACCTGAAAATAAAAACCATCACCCCAAAAAAAAAAATTTTTTTAAATTTTTGAGAAAAATATAGTCATATAATCAAACGTTGGAAAATAATTTTTATGAAAAGAATAATCAATCAAAGGCTCCAAAAATATGAATTTGGATTTTAAAAAAAAATGATATTTTCAGTGAAAAATCGATCAAGTCCACTCTAAATTTAATTGATCAGACCAAATTGAATGACAATTAAGGACCTTATCCAACCACTAGGGCATCCAAAGTTTGACTAATTACACCAAAACAATATAGGGTGTCATCCTCGTAGTTGTTTACAAGTAAGAAAAGAAGCATCTTTCTTTATCCTGGCTTGATTCATTTCCACTAACTTGGGATTGGGTACAGTTCAACCGTCAGGTTGACAAGACTTCCTTGCACAAATTAACCAACCATTGGAAGAAAACTAATCCGTGAATGTGAGTTGACACGTTTGATAAACTGAACTGTAATTAAACTTTAAATCTGTCGTAACTCTCATAATACACAAGAAATAAACGACAGAGCTTTTGCTAAGAGCCCGTAAAATCCAAAATGATATCGTTAAATTGACACGTTTGATAAAGTGGACTGTAATTAAACTTTAAATATGTCGTAACTCGCATACACAAGAAATAAACGACAAAACTTTTGCTAAAAGGCCGTAAAATCCAAAGGGATATCGTTAAAACATTGCCATAAATAATGTGGAAGAGGCCTCCCAATATGATTGATATACAGATGCTACACTACTACTCTAACTAGTGCAAATTTACTTTAATTATTAGGAGGAATGGGCCAGGTCTTGAACCAATGCTTCTAAATCAAATTAGACGAAAATTTTCAAATAAAACTAAGTTGCAAGAAGGCCACTAAACTCGGGAATAATCGAAGAATTACAATGATGTGGAGGCATACACTGAAATCAAAGGGAGTCTAATGGCATGTTTGAACAAAATCAATGAAAAAATTCACACAATTGGTCAAGATCAAAGGAGAAATGCATGTGAAAATATTCGTTTATCATGCAATCCAATCGTACACACCAAATAATCAATCCCCGGAAAAAGCAGATGAACCCGCATTAAATCTTTATCACCTAACATACAAAACATAGCATAAAATCTAAAATCTAAACCATCCACCATAAGATTTCAAGCTAATATTCACCAAAACCTCATAAATATATGCAATTTTCATAATTCAAATAAGGAAAGTAAAATTAAAGCATTACATACCAATTGACAAAGGTGTTCCCTTATTCCATAAACTTATTTCAGCTGTTCCATTGTTGGATTATTCGTAGTATCACAACACATGAAGATCGATGAAAATCTACACCGGCAATTATTTACAGGGAATACAAAATCTTCAAGAAAGCCTAACTGTTCCTCCTCGATTCTTATGCCTTCAAAGAACTTACAAGATGGGTTCATGCAGAGTTGATCCTCTTCCATATACAGTATGGTAACCTTGTCACTACTCTGTACAGCTTGCCACCCTTCACTATTAGTTATGTTCTAAACACTTTTAACATATTCCTTTGATTTTGCATCTCAGTCCTGACTCCCGGGGATCATCCTTTTAAGTCTTTTACTTGTAAATCTTCGGGTGGACAAAATAGATATTATAATGAACAAGAGCTCAGTGTCGAGTCCTATTTGATACTCCCCATCAAACATTCATGCTAACAAGGTTTAGTAATTCATCTCACTTCCCCACCTACCTGCCGGCCTCAATAAGAAGGTGGAGGCCGTGGAGGAGCCGTCCAAAAGCCATTGTGCGGCATTTGACCATTGATGGGCAACAAATCCGGTGGTAGATTATATAAACCTACAAAAGGAGACGGGGCATCAGTCGGCAAACAATGAGATTGGGACCCCGAAGCACCACTGTTTCCTGTGTTCACTCTTGATTCGGGTTGTACTTGGATTTCTTCACTAGCCTGCTCCTCTTCTAAAGGCAACCTTTCATATGTTGCATTGGTAAATGTGGCAGCAACCACCATTACTGGTCCTGATGCCTCCAATGCACCCACCACGGTGCCACCCAGTACTTGCCCCTGACTACCAGCCAAGTACACAGCAAGTCCAGTGGCTGCTGAAAGCGATGGTGTTGGCAAGAACGCACCCGATAATGATAGTATCTCAAATTTCCCAGGGAGGGCTATCACCCCTCCCGGTGCAGCTGGTTGACGTAAGGTCACATTGGTTACAACTCCATTGCCACTCAAAACTGAAACACCGCAGTGACGCCGCTGTGCATAGGTGGCAATGCTTTCTGCAATGTCACTGCCACTACTGATTTCCAACACATGGCTATGTAGAGCATTAGGACTTTCTTTTGTTATCACAATTGGAGACTTGGGCTTGTTTTTCGAGCCAGGTGGTCTGCCTCTTGGCCGACATCCGGAGATAGCGGGCTTTAAAATCTCGGGATCTCCTGGCGGCTTCTCGTCTTCAACTTCGTGTACATTTTTTTGACTCTCTCCATCTTCAAAATTTTGGTTCAGATTTGGATTGACATTGCTTCCAATGCTATTTGATGGATTGATGGTGGTTGTATCCATAAATACTTGCTCTCTTCTAGGCAGTCCAAGGGGATTCAAGACAGCATTTTTATCCTCTGCAGTGCTTCCAAGGTGAAGAAATGGAGCTGATGATGATGCTGATAAAATTGGGTTCATCACCATATTTCCTGTCCACCATCTGTTCCCCATGCCTTTTTTCTTCAACCAAATTCTCTCTTTTCAAGAAGGAAAAAAAATTAAACAACAATTTCTAATTAATTGTATCTCTATGTCTGTTCAACAAACAACCAAAATCTTGAACCACAGTATCTATTTAACTTAAAGCCAAAGTAGTAATTTCAGTTTTTTTCCTCTTTCAGTAAACCCTAATCATTATCCGAAAACCCTGATCCGTACGCAAATAATTTACACAAACAATAAAAAAAACCCAGTTAAGGAAATTGCAAATTAAACGGAGATCTAGATGAAAACACCTTAAAATTGCATCCTGATTATTATCCAACTGTTAACAGTTGAACTCGCAGTTATAGTTTAGTATTCAAACTTCTATTTCAGATTTTGTGCTGAAAGATTTGATGGAGAGAGGAAAAGTACCTTCACAGATTGAACCGGTACGGGCTAGGGTTTGAGTCAGGTCCTTTGTTCTGATGTTCTTCAGCTTCCCTAGCCTCTTTTTCTTTCACTGTCTATTTATAAACATATAAATTTAAATATATCTTCCTCTCTATATCTGAGTATATAGCTGGGTGGGTGACTGGGTGTACTTATCCGTAGCTTATTTATTCATCTGTAGGAGTAGTTGAAAAACAAATAACAATATGTCCGGTTTTGCAGTTACTGGTTTGCTGGTAGCCGGTTTTTTACTAGGACCATACACATCGAGTAATGTTATAGCTCAATTTAAGCGGTGTTAAATGATAGGTTAAATGAAAGGTGGAATTAAAAGATTTATTTAATTTCACATATTATTGAATGACACATTAACACTACTTAAACTGTGGTTATTAACTCCAATGAAGATAAATAATATTACTTATACACATTTTGGTTATGCTCTTTCACCAATGGTTCGTATCTAGAAATCAATTGTTGATCTTGGTTTTCGGTGGTACAACGTGGTCAACAGATCTCAATTTTACTTTCGTTTATGTGTCAATCTTCTGCACATTTGCACAAATTGTTAGGAGCAAGTCATCTTCTCTTACAATGGGGGAGTCAAAAGTGAACACTCAAATGATCAAGTCAATCAACTTACAGCGTATTTGGGTGTGGAATGGAGAACGAGGAAGAGCTACAAGTATGTGTACTATAACTGGGTTTGAAGGGAGAAATATTACCAAGCCAAGTCACTATTCAAAGTGTAAATTAGTATTACTAATGAATGACAACATGTGCGGGCTTTTATAATAGGAGAAGAGATACGATTATCGTTGATGGATGACACGTAGCCTCATCTTAATGGATAACGCGTCAACCTTATAAGCGTCACCTTGACTATCCTAGTTTGAGATGACATTAAATGATTTTAAAAGGTGATCACTCCATAACTTAAGCCTAAAAAGTAGACTGAAATTGAGGGGCGTTGTAGAGATGCCAAATCAATCAATCGTACAGAAGATCTTGTGCGAAAAATCTTTTGAAAGAGGTGAAGTTACCTTGCAGAATGAAGAATCGTCACTTTGAAAATATGCTACAACAAATAATGGCATCGCCTTACCACGAACATAGAGGTTTGACCTCTATATGTCGCTTCGATCGGGATATTTAACTCACTTTGACTTACTTTTTTTTATGGTCTCGATTACGTCAAATATGGAAAGTGATGTGGAGTGCACACTTTAGGTGTCTTTGTGCTATTCCCAAGCTGACTATCACGTGATCAATAATAAGGACCTCGTAGAATGAGGCGTAACAATAATAATTGTGGCAAAATAGTTAAAAATATGAACGAAGGAAAGGGAATAAATAAATAAATGCTAAATCTAGAAGGAACTATGAAAGTTCATACAAAAGAAGTGAATTATATTATAATATATTGATCTTGACACTAGTTGATCAAAATAAATGGATCACTCAATAATACTTAAGAAATTAAAAATAGATAAAATAGGAAAATAAATATATAAATAAGATGTACATGTCGAAACGAATATGGACAAGGCTATTTACTTTGTTCATGGTGTTTTCTTCAAAATAAAACATCTTTCAGGACATCATCTTATTAATTAAATTGTAATTATTCGTAGTGCATTATACGAGAGGCGAGAAAAATGCTGGTGTGTAACATCCATTTGAAAAACAATATAGTAACTACTCGTACCTTTGAGAACATTCTTTTTACATAACAATATAATTTTTTAATGTTGACACGTATTCAATTTGTGGGTCAGACATAACATTTTAAGAATCAAGGGGATAAATGAAATTTACACGTCATTTGAAATAAAAATATTTGTACGGTTTATCCAAAAAGAGCAGGAGTCCCTGTTTATCAATGGCGAGTCTCAAAGCCTGTTTGTGTTCCAATTTCTTAACAAATCCAAACCCCAAAACTATTTCCTTCAATTCAGCATCTCCATCAAAACCCATAATTTCTTCTCTTTCCCTCCCCACCCCTCGTGCTCCACAGGTACCCCACCCCACGTGAAATTTTATTTAATGTAACATGTCAAGAATTTTCTTCCCAGATTTTGATGTTCCATGCATTCTTTTCAGGGACCTCAAATTCAAAATCTTTTGTCTTCTTTGTGTGAATCAATCTCTAGAGCGAGTATTCTTACTGTTCTTTCTGCTTCAATTGTCTTTGCTTCAAATCCTGCTCTTGCATTTAAGGTAATCGAAGTTTGATGTGAGTTTTGCTTGTTTAAACTTAAATATTGTGATTTACATTGATTAATGTTTTGTGACAAAAAAAAATTTGGAAAGGGTGGAGGACCATACGGTGCAGAAGTGACCAGGGGACAAGATCTTACAGGTAAAGATTTTAGTGGCAAGGCTTTGATCAAGCAAGATTTCAAAACGGTAATGCATTCTTACTATCATTTTCATTTTGCTTACCAATTGTTTAGATATCTGGATGTATAACGATTTTTTGAGTTTTCTTTTTAATATTTCACTGAGTTTGTACGGAAAATCTGATTCAGTCAATACTGAGGCAAGCCAATTTCAAAGGGGCTAAGCTATTAGGAGCCAGCTTCTTTGATGCTGATTTAACAGGTAATATCATTGCAATAGTCCTATATGCGGTTATTCATTTACATTCCCATATTTGCAGAGCAGTTTAACCTGCCAAGAATCTTATAGGTTAATAAACAGGAACACGTGTTCCAAATGCATTGGGCATGGTTTATTCACCTTCTTATTTTAGGTCTTTGGCAAAGAATAGAAAGAAATAATTATCTAGTCAAGCTAAGTAGGACATGAATCATGATGGTTCAATGAAGGAAAAATTGGTGATAAAATTACGTAAACATCGTTATTGTAATAAAAAAAACGGCTCCTGAACCCGGCATGAAGGCTGAAAACGGATTAAACCCAGCATGAAGTCTGAAAACGGATTAACTTTGCTGTGAAAGTGTTTGGTAGTTCACTGTGACCACTTCTTCTGCCAACTTAAAAGTGCAGACTCAGTTTCTCTATCCATTAACTTCTTTAAATCATGTTCAAGTTGCGATGCGTATGATGGTTTGTGAAGATTAGGATTCACGGTGGAGCTAATAGATTAGTACTTTTCTGTAAAATAGGGAATAACATCTTTATCTTAGAGCAATCTAAGGCTTAATCGGCGTTCTTGAATTGAATGAACTCTATGGTCAAACATATAGTGGCCTTTTACCTCTGGAAAACATTGTGTACCCCAAATTGGGTTGAGCTTGGTAGCATGGGCGGGTTTTGAACATACTCACATATAGACGAATGGTTATCATATCTAGCTTCAGGATATTCGTGCTTATCTCTATGTTTGAATTTACACATCGATACAAATAGTTGAATTTTGTTTGATGCCTCTAGATATTCTTTCAAGATATGGATGGCTGTCTAGTGCAGATGCTTGGCGATATTATTATTATTGAAAAGAGATTGAAATTTTAGCATAGAAATCATTAATTTTGGTAGTAACATGGATTTTTATTTACATTCTCTCACAGAAAAAGAGTACTACTCTACGGTTATGAACAAGGGATCGTGTGGGACTAGGCAAAGATAGATAAAGATTAAAGCATTTCTTTTTCTTTCTTATTTTGGACTGGAGAGAAAGAGATAACAGCGCAAAATCTTCAAATTATTGAAGTGTTCAATTACAAATTAATGATTAATTTCTTGAACACTTTGGCGCTTTCATATGCTGATCCAAATATTATATTAATAATCATGCCATTAAGTTAATAACTTTTCAATTGAACCAATTATTAATTCTATGTGAACAAATTTTTTCTTCTGAATTTGTATTCAAGTTGAACATTTGGAAAATGGGACTCAGTAGTTAACTGTTGCATAATAGTCTGTCTTAGTGATGCAATGTGTTTCATTGGTACTCTAAAATTTCAATACTTTTTCTTTAAGCTTAGCCAAACGTGCTCTAAGTTCATCAAAACTTGGTTGACAACCATGCTCATCTTTAAATAATTTTTTCCCTGCATGTTTAGGGGTAGATCTTTCTGATGCTGATCTTAGAGGAGTAGATTTCTCCCTGGCCAACGTAACGAAGGTACTAAAATTCCCATTGATTTCATAAAAGTTTCCTGTACTTTTGTAAGCCATGAAGGATATAATAGTGTGCCTCTGGACACTGTTTGCACGCTCCTGCTATACAATTATGGCATAAGTGTTCGTGATATTTCGCAAGTGTACGGATCGTGACAAGTAATAAAATAGACTTATCATATCTAAATATCGTCCCACAGAAATTACTATCTACTATAAAATTTTAAACTAACCTAGCTTCAATTTAAATTAAATTGGTAACTAATAATCAAATCAAATTGTATTTTCTAAACGAAATTCTAATAAATAAAATAACAAACTCAAATTAAAACTGTAGATAAGATTATGTGACTGGGTAGTTAGAATTCTCGATTTCACTTAGGTTATTTATCATACATTTAATTCCAATTCATTCAACCATTTTTCACAAGTGTCAACGACCGAATTAACCTATTATGTTTAGTGATCTCTTTCAAGTAACACTAATCCTATTCATAT